AGTGAACAGTACCTCTTCAGGGGTCTAGTTTAATTAATCAAAGGCCAAACATGGTATGCAAATAAGCCTTCACTCCTGTATCATAACTGAGTGATGGGAAAGAAAATTAGTCTGCATGCCCCCACCTGATTCCTTCCATCCAGGCTCTTCATCAGTCAGGCCCCCTCAACCCAGAATCCTCTTCTGAAGTCAGGTCTCCTGCCATCCACTGGGAAAAGGTTCCTTCTCTGGATTCAGGACTGCTACAGAGATCAAACCATTACAGCTCTTCCCTAGAGGAGCACATAGCTCCCCAACAACCTAGATCCCTTGCCACTAGCTGGTAAGATCCTTTCACTGGGACTAGGACTTAGTTCCTCCTAGTCCTTTCAAGACCAGCTCACCCCAGCAGCACCTCTCCTGGGTCCCCTTTCCTGGTAAACTCTCTCTAACCAACTCCCCTGAAAATTTTCTCTCCTCAGGAGCTTCTCTGATCTGAGAACCACTGACTGAGCTTTCATAAGTCTTTATTAGGCCCAGATGTTCCTTAACTAATTAACTGCCACCCAGGCACTAGGCAGTTAACTACTCATGTGGAGCTGAGTTGGCCCATTCTCCTTAGAGGAGCCTGTCTCAGGTAGATTGGGTGCCTGAGCCTCTGATGGATCAGCTACCCTGTGACAGGCTTATTAGACTTTTTGCTGTAATTTAACTACAACCTCTCCCAAATGTAAATGACAAGCATCTCTGTAATTTCTTATCTTTTAAAATTAATATTTTGCTTCACAGAAGACAAACTGGGAAATTGTAGCACAGTTAACACAGTTCAGGGCACAAAGAATGCTCTTTGAAGATAATACGCCTGCTCTTTAATCACTCTCAAACAAATATCTCACTTGGGCAACATCTACTCCTGCTACAATCTTTATCATCCGCCTCACAGAGAATGGCAAGGCAGATAAAGCATTCAGCAGTGTGTCCATCCATCCCCTGGCCACCCATTTCTCTTTGTATGCAACCTCTGAGAGGGGATCCTGCAGAGCTACATCCATATTAAGTATGTATTACTTTGTTGCTCAAAGCCTTTTTAGTCTTTGTTAAAGTAGCTGTATATCTCAAATTGATACAGAGGAGTTTTTATGCGAGGTATCCAGATGAAAATACAGGTCCTTTTCAATTGTAATCCCAGATAATGGACATTGGCCTGACCCCAATTAAAATTCCTGAATATGAACTGGAAATTGTTTGGCAAACAGAGAACTGAAAATAAACATTAATGGTAAGGGGAGTAGTATCAAGTGACCTACAACAGGCAATAATGTTTTCATTAATGATCTAGAGAAAGGTATAAATTCAACAGGTATTGCGTTTGGTAAGAAAAGCTAAATCAGAGGGTCAGACCCACAGTGCACAGAAACCCAGAGAGATCATAATTGTGGAGTTTGGGCAATAAGATCAGTTCTAATGAATGCTATATCCAAGGAAAGGAAGCATCAGCAGATACTTGTCACATTTTGATAAAGGAAATTCTCCCCCATGGATTTCAGTCTGGAGTATATGAAATGAGTCCCATTGTGAGAGTCACAGGCCTTGTCCTAGGGCAGGGTATCTGGGGGCATTCTCTCCCATGGGTGACTATGTTATCTGTTGGCAAGAGGCAATGACACAGGACTTGAGGAAAGGAGTTGAGGCATGGAGAAAGAATGGGTGATGCTTCTGCTAGTGGTCCCCAACCTTTTTGTGGCCAGTAGCACATTCATGTTTTCAGAAGAGTGTGGCGGGCGCCAACAATTTTTCAAGGCTTATTTTGTATTTGTACATTAAATAATACGAAAAACATCATATTTAATATTACATAATATATGAATCCAGAGAGAAGAGAGAAGCTGGAGAGAAGCCGCAAGGACAGAGAACACCAGCACCCGCAGCCCCTGCTTCTCTCCCCTGTTGGGCACTAGGCGGGCCCCGCGTCTGCCGGGGCAGGGCCGGCTCTAGGTTTTTTGCTGCCCCAAGTAAAAAATTTTTTGGCTGCCCCCCACCCCAGCCCTGGGCTCTTCCCCCCAACCAGTGCCCTCCCCCACCCGCACATGGAAGGCATAGGGACTAACCCTCAAAACTTGTACCCGGAAAGGGATGGGGATCTAGTAAAGAGGGTTCAGGCAGAGGAGCGGGTGTGGGAGTGCTTGGGGGCTCTACACTGGCAGAGAAGTGGAGTGTGATGTACTCGCGGAGGAGGGTGGAGGAGGAGAGGGGATATCAGGAGGGTTGCGGGAAAAGAGGTGCAGGGGAAAGGGGAGGTGTGGGAGAAGGCTGGGGGAGGGTACAAGGGGAGAGGTGCGGGTGAAGGGAGAGTACAAGGGGAAAGGGTTTGGCAAAGGAGTGATGGGGGGAGGTACAAGTGAAGAGGCTGAGAGCAGGATGGGGGGTGCAAGGGCTGAGAGGGGCAGGCGCTGACAGCTGATTCCCCAGCCCCATGCAGGCAGAGCCAAGAGGACGGACACTGACCCCCAGGTGCCCGAGCCGCGGGGGTCCCTCAGCGGGGCAGTATCCCCCACTGCCCCGCTCAGAGCCAGGCTCTGCCTCTCCCCGCCCCTGGCACTGTGGGAGCCTGGGGCAAGTAGCATGGGGCTGAGGCGGGGGAGGTGCATGGCGGGCTGGGTTTGGGGGCAGGAGGGGGCAGCTCGGGCTGCCCAGCCACTCGCCCCATCAGCATGCGAGCCGGGATCCACACACCCCTGCCCAGCCTGGTGGCGCCCTGCCCAGCCCACTCGGGCAGGGAAACACGGCGCCGCCCTGGAGAGACTCAG